ATAATTCAAACAAACCAGTCTGCAGCCCACCCTCATCTCACAATAGTGTTAATGTGCGTGTGTGTGTCTGTGGACCACCCACTCTGCAGCTTAAACACACTTCACATGACCCCCTCCTCCCTCTCTCTCCTTAGTCACTCTCAGCCTCTCTCGGTCTTTTTCTTCATCTTCTGTCTTCATATGACTCTACTGACCTGTGTGTGTGGGAGGGGGAGGGCTATCTTTGTGAGGACCACTTTGGTTTTGGACCATGGGGGTCAGGACATGTTGGCACTCTGCAGTGAGTGTCCTCACAAATGTAGCAAGACCAACATGTTGATCCATTGTGCAGCTCACCTGCACCAACAGGAGAAACACCTGAGGCAGGAGCAGCACAGAGTTGGAAGAAGGAAACCAGTTGCTCCCAAAGCACAGTGTGACTGTAGAGGACAGTTAAATACAACTGGCCAGCGTGCACTGGTCATTTAGATGTTGGACACGGTGTGTAACACGCTCAGAGATCCTCCAGCACAGGAACAGGGTTCCATCTGCAGGACTGAGGCACATAGAGGCACATAAAGAACAGCGGTGTAACGATTTGTCACATTACCGGTTAATCTGCTGTTAATCACCTGTTTGTCAATAAAATGCAGATAAAACCACATTTTAGAGTCACAGTGTGCATGTCCAAGTAATTGGACGTTTAGTTTAACCAACAGTTTGAGACCCTAAAGCATGTTTAATGTTTGATCAAGACAAACAACAAGTTCTCACGTTAAGAGCGTGACTCCTTTAACTTTTATCTTAATGGTTAATAAATACATTTTCTGTTAGTCGATTAATTGTTTCAGCTCTAATACAAACAAATCTTGTCGGGATGAAGCTCAGATCGACTGTTTAGTGTTTACTCTGCATCCCTGTTTATACATATATATATATGGGTGTGTGCGTGTGTCAGTGTGTGTGTCCTGTTTAAGTTGTCTCTCTCTCCTCGTCTTAATGTCGGTATCTAAATTCATGCGCGGCGCGGGCCAGATCATGGGCGGATTGAGTTGGATTTGAGCCGAAGCCCCTTTAATCATCGTAACACCGTCATTAATATTCATGCAGTCAGCTGGAACCCCCACACTCATAACACCAAACTTTCTGCACAAAATGTATTAAATACAGCTTAAAAAATTAATGGACTTAGAGGGGAGGACGGGACCCCCCCACCGGTAACGCAGATTGGTCCACTGATTGGCCTTAGTCTTTTCCCTTGTTTCTACAGATTTTTCCATCTTTGACTAGACTTCAAAGCGAGTGCGAGGCATGAACGGTCATTTAGAAGGATTTGGGCACATTATCACATCTGTAATTGTACATGAATAATAAGGAGAGCGCTGCGCGCAATTAGCTCTGAGTCCACAAGGAGATCAGAGACGGGGGAGGCAGAGGACGACAGGAAATGAGAAAAGTTTCAAAGTGAAAAAAGGAAATTATCCAATAACTGTAATTCAGCAGAATCAGGCCAGGACCAGGGAACATCGTGGATGCCTTTAAAATACTGGACAACGCGCCCAAAGACGGCGCTCACTCACTTACTGGGCGCATGCATGGCAGAACTCCTCCCTAAAACCAGAACCGGGCTCTCTGAAGCCAGAACCAGAGCCAGGCTCATGGTCTCTGACCTGAGGCCTCATCAATCAGTGGTCAAACTCTCTGTATGCTTGTTTCTTGTTTGGGAACATTTGTATATTTAAACCTGACACGGCAGACACGCGCATTCAGTGCCACACGAAACTAACAGTAAACAGAAAGTGAGGTTTGATGAAGAGAACTGTGACAAAATGTTTGATATTTTTCGTGAACGAATAAAACGTTAACGATAATGTGAAAAACGGATGAACGGACATGAGGTCATTTAACGACCTGCCGCGTCTGTGGAGTCACAAACTGTAGGCGCTGATCAGTGAAACCGTTTCCTCCACAGGCCAAAACCACTCTGGTTCCGGAGCTGAATTAGCCGCTGGATGTTTCACGTCCTGGAAGAAGCAGGTTCATGAATCATATCGACAGTCCAGAGAATTACGCACACAAACCGCTGGGACGCGCTGGGAAACCGCGGCAGGATAACGTACCATGAACCGCTGTGGACGGAGATGTAACGTTAACGCTCCTCTCAGTCAGAGAGATGTGTCGTGTTGCTGCCAGTCAGCTCCAGGATTAATGTGGACAGTCGGCCATAAGTCATCTCTACATGCAGAGACTCACTGTTTTAATGGTATCTGACGATTTGGAGTCGCCTCTGAACACAGTGAAGAGGGTTTTAGCCAAAGTGTGAGGGAGTCCGACTTCTGCAGAGCAGAGCGACACTGTGGGAATAAAACACAGTTTCCCACAAACCTCACCACAGACGGGAACAACACGTGTAACCATGGTAACTGTACACAACCGGGCTGAAGAAGATGTAGCCACAGTAAATATTAAAAATGTATTGTTTTTAATGACTAAAACTACTATGCATTTCGTCAAGCGGCAAACAGAATCAGATTCAGCACCGCTCAGTGTTCTGGATGTGTTCTAAACACGACTCCGCCTTGAATGAATATTTCATTATCCAGTTCACCTGTGGGCACCTGTCCCTCACACCCTGGCTTGGCGTCACAGTCAAACGGTGTTCACATCTGCATTTCTTTTTACATTTTATTTATTTTCTATTCTGGGAAGTGTTAGACTTCACTACACATGGATGGAGACACACACACGTTGTGAATGATCACTGTTGTATTTACGTTTTACTTGTTTAATGTGAACTCTGTCACTGTTCTACTTACGCCTGATGACCTGTGCTCTGATCTGATTGTTTAACGAGAGCCGTCATGTCCACACCGAGTGTCAAAGGTGAGAAAAGGCGCGGCCCTCTCCGTTCATTTCTCCGGGGCTTCACCGCAAACGGCACCAGCGCCACAGGGGGCTCCGGGGAAAGGTTGGACCTGGTTCAGCTTTTGCCGCGCCGGTCGGTGACATCATCCCACAAAGGCCCCGTGTTGACCAATAAGGTACGGGGACGATCGGAATGTCGACACGCACGCGTTCGCTGCTTTTCAGAGTCGAATTTGGGTCCGAGTTAATGCAGCATGATGAGAAGCCATGCGGTGATTAGTCAGAGACATGGATGCTAACGGCGTCTCTACCAGTGGCTGAGGATCGGTGCTAAGGTTAGCAGTGTGGCTAACCAAAGCGCCACGGAAGCTCAGGGCTAGAAACGTGAATGAAGCCGCCCACATGGACTCATCTCAACATCGTGCACGCATACAGCTCTCAACCCCCGACCAACGCAGCCCCGTGCGTTAAAACAGCAGGGAGTTGTGTTCTAGGACTCAGTCTGAACGCCGGCTAAGATACAGTGAGAGACAGACAGGTGGGCAACAGTGAGTTTCAGATGAGTGTTTCCATTTTCCAGCTAATCCCAGAGTGAACGTGGAGCTGCAGCAGCGCCTGCCCTCTCCTTCCAGAAGGCATCTCAGCAACATCAGCCAGCGAGTCATCAACCCTGACAGGTAGGAACAGCACCTGTCACCCTGGCCTCCCACTCCTGCACTGAAAATCCCCAGACCTGAAACTTGCACTAAGCCTAAACTACAAACTCTTATGTGTCATCACCTCCTGTTGTTTCTGATGTTTACAGACCAGGAATCAGCCTGAGCCTGGACCTGGACCACACTGACCGGCCTCAGGGTAATGTCCACTGACCCGTCCATCATCCCCAACTGCTCTTAGTACCATTCTCCACTGAAATGTCCATGAAAATAGAGTATATTCTCTGCAGCTGCACTGACTGGTACCTGTCTGTTTGTCAGCCCCTCAGCACCTCCAGGAGCCTCTGACCTCCTGCTCCCCTTCACCTCTGGTTCAGAGGTCATCTGTCTCTCCTGTTTCACCCCAGTCGCACAGGAGATCTGTCTCTCCATTGTCCTCCAGGCCTCCAGGAGTTGCAGGGGAGATGGAGACAGACTTCTCTACCACTAGAGGCCCTTCTCCTTGGGCAGACAGCTGTGGTGATGCCCCTGATGGAGGTGGAGCATCCAGAAGTCCTGGTAGTCCAACCTTCAGAAGACACCCGGTCACTGCTGACAACAGGTGAGAGGAGTGAATGCTGCTGCTGCTACTGGTACCAGTAGCACTGGTACCACCGCCACTACTACCTACTACTACTACTGGTACTGGTATCACTACCACTACTGCTACTACTACTACTACTGGTACTGGTATCACTACCACTACTGCTACTACTACTACTACTGGTACTGGTATCACTACCACTACTGCTACTACTACTACTACTGGTACTGGTATCACTACCACTACTGCTACTACTACTACTACTGGTACTGGTATCACTACCACTACTGGCACCACTACTACTACTACTACTACCACTACTACTACTACTACTACTACTACTACTCCTCCTGCTTTTACTACAGCTGTTGCTACTGAAAGTAATGGGGGTAATGGGGAAGTTTCTGGAGGAAATGTACCTGCTCTGATTTTGCTGAAAACTTGCCGTAGGATGAGTGGAAACCTGTTTTGACATTTTTTTGGTGTTTAATTTATTTAGTTCTTCATTTAACAGACAAATCTTGTCACGTTTATTGCATCATTGATTTCCAAGCGGTGGAGCCTGGCAGTGACGGAGCTTCATTTGTCTGTCCTATGTGTTGCATTAAACACAGGTAAACGTCTCAGTACTGTCTCCTGGTAATATTAACCCGTTATCACAGAACAGATTAACTCCTGCTGTGTGATACTGTTGAATCAACACAGTGAATGAATATAACCTTCAGGAGATAACCGGTTCACAACCAGAGCATATATCTTCATTAAAAAATAATAATTCATCAATAATCAACAGGCAGACTCTGTAGTATTTACGAAATCATCTGTTAATGCCAAGTGAAATGTCCTCAGCTGTGCAGGTGTTATAAACTTTAATGTTCTCAAAACAAATGACAAGTAAAGATGTATCAGAACTATAAATTATGATACATTTGAATAATCATATTATGAATATTGGACAGTCCGTGATGTTCTTCGGGGCTTCCTTGATTAATCTCACATGTTTGGAGCCTCTCAGCACTGAGCAGATTTATTAAAAAGTTTATTACTTTTCATTAAACTTGCTCAGCTTTCTTTAGATTCTGTAATTCAGTTTTTTTTTTGTGCCTTTTTTTTTGTCTCTTTGATGCGTTTTCAGATGAGATTTGTGGATCAGTCTGAGTTGCATCACTGTATGAAATGTGACCTATTAAATTTAGGTTTGATTCGATTAGTGGAAGTGTTGAGAATGAGACAGAAATAGAAAAATAGTAAAAGGAATCGAGGCGGGAAGTTGATTAGAAGCAGCTGATATTATGAAGTGAGAAACAGTCAATTACAGAAGACAGTGTCAGCCATACTCCACTGTCTTATTTACCTGCTTTATTACGCTAAGAAGCTGCCTGACCTTTAAGGTGATATGAGAGAATTACAGGCGAACATCAGTTGCTGCTTATTAAAGCAACACCTCATAACCTGCTGCTTTCATCTCCGTGCCTCATATGTGATAATGTGAGGCCACAGCCTCAGGTTAAAGCACCTGACCTCACTACACACAGGTGAAACTCTAATGAAACACGCTGAGATGATGTCACAGGACTGCTGACCAGTCTGTTGGGTTTATATTATTCATGTGTATTTTTACTCTAAATGCACAGGCTGTGATAGGAGCCCCACATTTCAAATTAACAGTTGGTCGCCAGGTGTTATCCCGGCACGTTTATGTGGTGACAGGTTTAAAAGTGTCGCTGAGTCTGCCAGTTTATCTGAGTGAGTGGTAGTTCTCATCCCCATGGAAAACACCAGACACCTTACATGAACACAAAGAAGAAAAGAAAAATAATAAAATAAAAATCCTCATACTGGGGCACGAATGGTCAGGGTGCATTGCACAGTGCGAGTGCAGCGCTGGTGGGTCCAGTCCGATTGGTGACCCTGGACTCTGGTCTTCCCTCTCTTCATTTCTGTCTCTCTTTTCTCCTGTCCACGTCTCTGTAACTCAGAGTAATAAAGGCAAAATGTTAGAGATGCACAGATTCTTTTTTTTGACCTACTGATTCTGATTTTGTCCAATTGCAGTTTCTTTGCTTTCTAAGAACTATAATTGACGGCATACACAGACTTTTTAAAAACTTTTACATTTTCTCTTTATTTTATTACAAACTAACTAAAAATGAAGAGCAGTACTTCTCTAAAAATAAACAGGTGAACAATGTCTGTTGCTACTGAGCACATGGTCTTTGTGTGTGTGTGTAGTTTTGTACTGCGGGCTGGATACTCTGTACATATAGATGCATTTCATGTGTAGCCAGTAATTCCCTCGCTGTGTGTTAGCCATTTGGACAGGTGTTTCTCCAAGGTGTTTCTCTAGGCTCGTCTGTGCACTTGTTCTACACCAAGCTTCAAACCTCATAAAGCGGTGGTCACCTGTGAAGATTATCTCGCTGAACAAAATGCTTAACCCTTGGGAGGCCCTTACATAATCCATCCATATAGATCGATATCAAAACCCCAAATATGACTCCCAGGACCTCCAGAGGGCATCCACTACTGTATGTAGCTGTATGGGATGGTATTTATTTTTTTAATTCAATTATAGATGTATGTATTGTATATACAGTATCTATGATTGATAATGACAGTGATGCTCCCAAAATGGCACATTTACCTAAAACGTGGTGTGTGTGGACAGCTTCACACTGCATTTGCACCAAGATGGTGCTGTATATGGCTGTCTTGGTACCTCAGCAGGCTCACAGTCCAACGACAAGAAATGATTATAAGTATGGCTGAAGATGGCATAGAAACAAAGTACTGATGAAGTAAAAATGTCACGTTACAGTAAATCAGTAAAGGTCACTGATGTAAGCTTGAGGCTTGTTGTCAGCTGGACATGAAGGCGACCCTAGGCCTCTGCAGACCTGCTGTGTCAGTTGTTAGTCCAGTTTTTACCTGAATCTTTTTCTCTCCAGTCTTCACCAGGACATCATGTTGGCTCGAGTTCAGAGTTTCGATCGAGACAAAAACATCTCCTTTCTACTGAAGGAGCTCGATGCCTTGAGGGAAGTGAACAAGAAGGTGACTATGCACATATACATCCATCCAGTAGTCAGATGGCAGTACCTACAGTATACCTAGGGCTGCACCATTATGACAGAAATCATAATCACGATTATTTTGGTCAGTACTGACATCACGATTCTTTAACACAGTTACTCATTAAAACTTGTCTTTAAACGGTGCAGTTTCTTTAACTTTAAATCCGATTCAACTGAAGAACAAACGAAGCATTTCCTCCACCTAGTTGTGACTGACAGCTCAAGGAAATTCATTTCCACTCTACATTTATTTTACTAATAGAACGTTGCTACTTCAGATTAACAGTGCTGCCTGTCAAAACCCAAAGAATCGCTGTCTGCTGGGTCCAGTCAGCTGTCATGTTAGCTGGTTCTTAGCTGTTAGCTTAACAAGCTTGCAATGGCTAACACGAGCTGGCGGTGGATGACCGACTGCAGGCAAAGCGGAAATGATCGCTTCTCTGTAAGTTGAGCAGGTGTTTTGATTGAATACACATCTTTATATTGTAATCTAAGCATTTACACCAGACAAACATCCACATGAAAGGCACTATAATCTCAGAACTTAACTCTGTCTGTCAACTGCTGAGTGGTTAGTGATTAGCAGCTAATTAGTAATCACTCCAGCAAAAATTAATCAGCAAATATAATCATAAAAGCTGAATCATTTAAGTAACTGAAGTCATCAAAAATGCTGAAAAACTCTCAGATTCCAATTTCTCTACTGTGGACATTTGATGTTTTTCTTGCTCTTCTGTGACGTTAAATGAATCTGTTTCCATTTGAAGATGTCACTCTGGACTGGCACTTTTCTCATGTTTGACACAACAAACAATATGTCGATTAACTGGGAATTAAATCAGTAGATTATTAAACGGTATAATGAATATTAATAATAACTTAACTGCAGCCATATCTGACTGCTTCTTCCTCGTTCTCTGTCCCGCTGTCATCTTTGACGTGTCTCAAAACCTGACAACAGACTCAAGAGGTTCTTAAAGTTCCAGAACAAACCAGGTGACAGGTGGGAGCCCCGCAGCCTTGTGCTCTCAGGTACTAACACCTGACTCTGTTTCAGCTGCAGGATCAGCTAGTGCAGAAGGAGACAGACCTGCAGCGGAGGGAAGTGGAGGAGGAACTGAGGGAGGAGCTGAGGGAGGCCCGAGGCTGGGAGAGACCTGCAGGTGAGGGGGGTACACGTAACAGTTTTCTCTCCTCTTAATCAGATCTGATCCACCTGCGACTCCTTCACTATTTGAATATTTTTTCATGCGTGCGTGTGCGCGCACACACACACACACACACACACACACAGTGTAATTAAAACCACAGCCGTGGTAAGGCAGCTGCTAGTTTAACTATGTGTGTGTGTGTTTAATCCACATGTAGCATTAGTTTAACTGAGCCCTGTGTGTACGTGCGTGCCGCTGCAGTGCAGCAGGATTATCACACAAACGCAGTCTCCATCACCATGTTTGCCTGCTGATGACACAAACATGCCATGTTTTCATTCTGGCCTGAGCTGGAAAGGTTTGTCTCCTGATAAAATAAATTCATCTCTGTTGAGTTGGGGCTTCTTATGCTCTGAAGGACACCACAGACAAGCAGCCACTCACAACAATCACATTGACATAAAGGAATACACTGAGGCCATCACAGCATACATCACAAAGTGTATTGATGATGTCACTCACTGCAAAAATATCAGTGTTCGTGCCAACCAGAAGCCAAGGATGACAGGTGAGGTTCACAGACTCCTGAGGGCTCAGAAGGCAGCCTTTAGGGCCAGCAACGGTGCAGGCCTAGCAACAGCAAGAGCCAACCAGTCCCCTGGAATCAGGGAGGCAAAACGCCAATACAGCAAGAAAATATCAGCGACACTAGAGATGCACTGGGTCTCTGGTGAGGCATCCAAACCCTCACAGGCTATAAACCCCCACCTCAGAGCTGTAGTAGTGACATCTCTCTGCTGAACAGCCTCAATGACTTCTTTGGCTGCTTTGAAACACAGAACAACACACCAGCACAGAAGACCACCCCTCCCCCGGGTGAGCAGGCTGTGTGTCTGTCCGTAGCCAGGGTGAAGAACCAAGGCCGCCACAATAATTCCAATTCCAAAGAAGCCCCACCCAACCAGTTATAATGACTATCGGCCTGTAGTACTGACTTCAGTTATTATAAAGTGCTTTGAGCAGCTGGTCATGCAGAACGTCAAGTCCGTCCTTCCTCCCTCTCACGACCCATTTCAGTTTGCATACAGGTCAAACAGGTCCACAGAGGATGCCATTACTGCTGCTCTCCATCCAGCCCTCATCCACCTAGATTCAAAGAACTCTTATGTGCAAATGCTGTTCCTAGACTTCAGTTCAGCATTCAACATAATCATCCCCCAACAGCTTACACAAAAACTTGGACACTTGGGATTCAAACCCTCTCTGCAGCTGGGTGCTGGACTTTCTAACAGGGAGGCCACAAAATGTGTGGGTCAGCAGCAACATCTCCAAGACCATCACGCTGAGCACAGGGTGTGTGCTCAGCCCATTGCTCTTCACACTGCTGACCCACGACTGTGTACCAACCTACAGCACCAACCACATTGTCAAGTTTGCGGATGACACGACTATAGTTGTCCTCATTACCAACAATGATGAGGCCGACTACAGGAGTGAGGTGTGCCAACTGGTCCAGTGGTGTAAGGACAACAACCTCTCCCTCAATGTGGGGAGGACTAAAGAGATCATTGTGGACTTCAGGAGAAAACCTCTAAAGCATCCACCACTGACCATCGACGGTGCTGTAGTGGAGAGAGTGAACAGCACCAAGTTCCTGGGGGTGCACATCTCTGAGGACCTCTCCTGGACCAACAACACCACATCACTGGCCAAGAAAGCTCAAACACGCCTCTAATCTGCTGCTGTTGGTCATTTGCACTACTGTCCATGTGCATCTTAACCTCACAACCATCTGATAATGTTCTTATTTGCACTACTGTCACTGATTGTACAGGGATTGAGTCATAGCCTACTAGGTTGTACCATTTAGTTTTATCCTAATCACTTTGACTTAGTTTTATTACTCCTTTTAGTCTACTTTTACTCTACTTTTATTCTATTTTAGTTTCCTAAATGGTATGGCATTCAGTACTAGGTGAGAGAGAAACGGTATTTTGATTTTCTGTATGTCCTGCACATTTGGTGATGCGACAATAAAAATCTTTGATCCTGATCTCATCAGGAGATTAAAGCAACTAGTAAGTGTTGCGTTATGTTACGATGATATACCTGTGTGGTAATAAGCATATATGATAATTAAAATGTATTCATGTATATAAATGTCTATAGCTCAAACCATGTAATAAAGAACTCAGCTCCTATTGGACAATGGTTTATATTGAATTTATCAACCCCCTCTCCTCCTCCTCAACTCAGCGGTGTTGGAGGAGGTACTGGCAGCTCAGAAGGACCGAGACCAGGCTCTGATGTCACGACTCCTGCTGGCCAATGAGGAGCGAGATGAGGCGGTGTTGCGTTTGCGCCGACTGCACCAGGCCACTGAGTATGTGAACTTTATTTTAATTGTTTTTGTTTTCCAGCTAAAATAAAATCTTTGTGTGAGAGGCTGTTGGCCCTCTCTGCTGGCTGAAACCAATAAATATTAGGCACAGAGCTGCCATTCTTCAGAGTGACGCCCTGGGGAAAACTGTCCTTGTGTCTGCTTGTTCTGGTGTACAGTGGTTGGTTTGGTTGCTGAAACCATTGCTACCATTTCATGTTTCTTATTTAAGAACTGAATTAGTTAGCACAGTGATCAATAATCGATCAAATAATCAATCAGCATGGTTTTGTGCAACACTGTTGGTGTTGAGACCTTCATTTTGATCATTTTTGACATTTTGACATGGGAACACTGTCAAAGATGAAACAGGAGCCTGATAAATTTGCGTTAAACAGTCCAGTGTCATCTTTAGTTTATTTATTAGTTTTATCTCATTCATGTGTGTGGTGCCAACAGGAAGTGTTGTATCTTATTTTGAAGGGGTGACACTTGATAAAGTGTCACACTGTGGAGAAAAATGTTCAGCTTGTTTCTATTGATGATGATTTTTATTCTTATCGTGTTTTCTTTGAATTGTGAACATAACTGAATCTGTAGGAACATTTACTGTGAATCTGCAGGTCTGAACTGATGAGGTCACTGTTTGTTTGTCAGAGAAACTGACACCACCAACATGTTTGTTCACTTATTTACATGTGAAACATGTTTACTGTGCCTGGAGGAGGAACACAACTAACTCCTCTTTCTTCTTTCTCTTCCTGCTCCTCCTCCTCTTCATTATTCATCCCCTCACCTTTGTTAAGAGCTGTGAAACGAGCTCTCCTCCCATTTGAGGAGCCACCAAATAGACCAGAAAATCTAATTAGAGATAATACTCCGCACTTCCTCCTCCTCCTCCTTGTCACCTTATCCCTCCCGATGAGGGGGTAATTGATATGGGGCCACAGTACTGTTTATGAGGGACCATATATGGAGGAGCATGTTCCATCTGTCAGTGTGTGTGTGTGTGTTGGTGTGTTGTGTATTAATGGGTCTTGTGTGTGTTTTCCTAATGGCGAACGTCTGTGTGAAATTCCTCTGTAAATGTGTGTGTGCTGTGTGTGTTTTACTGAGGTGTGTGTATGAATAATGTGAAGCTGCTGCTTTCACTGTTCCTTACATTTGATTCATCAAACACTAACGAATATTTCAACAGTTAATCTACTGATTCTTTTGTTTATAACCAAGTAACTGTTCACTCTGTTTGGTGTGAAGTAGAGTAGGTGTTTTATTGATCCCTCAGTGGGGAAATTTCTGTGTTACAGCAGCAATAGGACCGATACACACAAGGATTATAAAGGTAGCGTCATCAGAACATTACACAGTTTTACACAGCACAAATAAATCAAAGGCACCTAAAAACAGGGCAGAGCAGCAATGGAGAGAATCAGGAACAGCAGTAGAGACTAAACAACCAGGAAATCAAGAACAATCGAATATTACTCACACAATTAATC